TTCAAAAGGTGACGATGCCTGACTACTCTTGAATATTGATAGGAATCCCAAAATCCATGTGGCTACTGGAAAGGGTCCTTGGGTGGCCTGACTCACCTCGAAAAGTGTCCCTTGTGGCCTGCCAAGCCTCAAAGAGATTCCTGAAGTGTCCCTCGTTACTAGATAGGAGTCCTTACATCACTGAATAAACACATGTTTTGAAGGGCCATCCCCCTGTAACTCGATAACATACCACAGGTCCCCGCCGCAACTCGAGAAAAACCATGAGACTTCCCCCTAGATGTGAGATGAGGCCCGATTTCCCTGCAGGGCATGCAGAGCAATTTCATGATCCCCATCAAACAAGTCAGAAGCTTCGACTTGCTTAGTGGATCTCGAGACAGTCCCCAAGAACACTGTCACAAGTCTAGACGGACCCTGAGGTTACTACAGCAACGCAAACTAGCTCCATGTGCCACAAATCAACTCGAGGTGAGGCCTGATTCCACTGCATTGACTCCAGAGCCATCCGCCGTTCCCCATTCCAAACGACCAGTTTCTTGACTTCCTTCAGGCACCTCTAGAGATGCCCCGAGAACACTGTCCCAAGTCTAGAGGAACACTAACTTCAGCACAGCAACTCGAGGAATGCTCCATGTACCCCAAATCGTCTCGAGATGAGAGCTGATTCCCTAGCTTAGGCTCAAGACGTATGCCAACTTTCCAGAAGCACCTCAAGGGGAGGCTTCTTTAAGCAATAAGTTTGTGGTAGGGACCCCGAGTTTGCTGCCTCAAGTGGATTATACAGCGAGAAGCCCTAACTTAAAGGAGGCGGCGTTTCCTTGCAGTGGCTTGAATACTGCTCGTCTTGCATCTCCCAACATGAAGGGATGTCTGAATCCCCTGTGGAGACCTTAGAGTAAGCCCTAGGTCCCTGCCTCATTATGACGGAATGAATCAGAACCCGTTGACACCTCGAGAGGCACGCGGAGTTCACTGCTTCAAAAGGTAACGTAGCCTGACTCATCGTGAATATTGGTAGAAATCCCAAAATCTCTGTGGCTACTGGAAAGGGTCATTGGGTGCACTGCGTCACCTCGAGAAGTGTTCCTCGTGCCCTGCCAGTACTCAAAGAGATTACTGAGATGTCCCTCGTTACTAGACAGGAGTCCTGACGTCACTGAATAACTACGAGTTTTGAAGGGCAATCCCCGCCGTAACTCGAGAACATATTGCAGGTCCCCGCTGCAAATCGAGGAAAACCATGAGACTTCCCCCTAGATGTGAGATGAGGCCCGATTCCCCTGCAGTGCACGCAGAGCAATTCCGCGATCCCCATCTAACAAGTCAGGAGCTTCGACTTGCTTAATGGATCTCGAGACAGTCCCCAAGAACACTGTCACAAGTCTAGACGCAACCTGAGGTCACCCCTGCAACGCAAAGCAGCTCCATGTGCCCCAAATCAACTCGAGATGAGGCCCGATTCCCCTGCGTTGACTCCAGAGCCATCTGCTGTTCCCCATTAAACATGACCAGTGGCTTGACTTCCTTCAGGCAACTCCAGAGATGCCCCGAGAACACTGTCCCAAGTCTAGAGGAACACCAACTTCAGCACAGCAACTCGAGGAATGCTCCATGTACCCCAAATCGTCTCGAGATGAGAGCTGATTCCCTGGCTTAGGCTCAAGACGTATGCCAACTTTCCAGAAGCACCTCAAGGGGAGGCTTCTTTAAGCAATAAGTATGTGGTAGGGACCCCGAGTTTGCTGCCTCAAGTGGATTATACAGCGAGAAGCCCTAACTTAAAGGAGGCGGCGTTTCCTTGCAGTGGCTTGAATACTGCTCGTCTTGCATCTCTCAACATGAAGGGATGTCTGAATCCCCTGTGGAGACCTTAGAGTAAGCCCTAGGTCCCTGCCTCATTATGACGGAATGCCTCAGATCCCGTTGACACCTCGAGAGGCACGCGGAGTTCACTGCTTCAAAAGGTAACGTAGCCTGACTCATCGTGAATATTGGTAGAAATCCCAAAATCTCTGTGGCTACTGGAAAGGGTCATTGGGTGCACTGCGTCACCTCGAGAAGTGTCCCTCGTGCCCTGCCAGTACTCAAAGAGATTACTGAGATGTCCCTCTTTACTAGACAGGAGTCCTGACGTCACTGAATAAATACGAGTTTTGAAGGGCAATCCCCACCTTAACTCGAGATCATATTGCAGGTCCCCGCTGCAAATCGAGGAAAACCATGAGACTTCCCCCTAGATGTGAGATGAGGCCCGATTCCCCTGCAGTGCACGCAGAGCAATTCCGTGATCCCCATCAAACAAATCAGGAGCTTCGACTTGCTTAATGGATTTCGAGACAGTCCCCAAGAACACTGTCACAAGTCTAGATGCAACCTGAGGTCACCCCTGCAACGCAAAGCAGCTCCATGTGCCCCAAATCCACTCGAGATGAGGCCTGATTCCCCTGCGTTGACTCCAGAGCCATCCGCCGTTCCCCATTAAACATGACCAGTGGCTTGACTTCCTTCAGGCAACTCCAGAGATGCCCCGAGAACACTGTCCCAAGTCTAGAGGAACACCAACTTCAGCACAGCAACTCGAGGAATGCTCCATGTACCCCAAATCGTCTCGAGATGAGAGCTGATTCCCTTGCTTAGGCTCAAGACGTATGCCAACTTTCCAGAAGCACCTCAAGGGGAGGCTTCTTTAAGCAATAGGTATGTGGTAGGGACCCCGATTTTGCTGCCTCAAGTGGGATATACAGCGAGAAGCCCTAACTTGAAAGGAGGCCGGGTTTCCTTGCAGTGGCTTGAATACAGGCTCGTCTTTCATCTCCCAACATGAAGGGATGTCTTAATCCCCTGCGGAGACCTTACAGATAGCCCTAGGTCCCTGCCTCATTATGATGGAATGCCTCACATCAAGTTGACACCTCGGGAGGCACGCAGAGTTCACTGCTACAAAATGTGACGATGCCTGACTCCTCTTGAATATTGATAGGAATCCAAAAATCCCTGTGGCTACTGGAAAGGGTCCTTGGGAGCACTACCTCACCTGGAGAAGCGTACCTTGTGCCCTGCCAAGCCTCAAAGAGATTCCTGAGTTGTCCCACGTTACTAGACAGGAGTCCTGACGTCACTGAATAAACATGTGATTTGAAGGGCCATCCCCGCCCTCACTCGAGAACATACCGCATATCCCCGCCGCAACTCGAGAAAAACCATGAGACTTCCCCAGAGATGCGAGATGAGGCTCGATTCCCCTGCAGTGCATGCAGAGCAATTCCATGAACCCCATCAAACAAGTCTGGAGATTCGAATTCCTTAATGGATTTCGAGAGAGTCCCCAAGAACACTGTCACAAGTCTAGATGGACCCTGAGGTTACCACAGCAACGCAAAGTAGCTCCATGTGCCACAAATCAACTCGAGGTGAGGCCCGATTCCACTGCATTGACCCCAGAGCCTTCCCCCGTTCCCCATTAAACACGACCAGTGGCTTGACTTCCTTCAGGCAACTCCAGAGATGCCCCGAGAACACTGTCCCAAGTCTAGAGGAACACCAACTTCAGCACAGCAACTCGAGGAATGCTCCATGTACCCCAAATCGTCTCGAGATGAGAACTGATTCCCTGGCTTAGGCTCAAGACGTATGCCAACTTTCCAGACGCACCTCAAGGGGAGGCTTCTTTAAGCAATAGATATGTGGTACGGGTCCCGAGTTTGCTGCCTCAACTGGGATATACAGCGAGAAGCCCTAACTTCAAAGGAGGCCGGGTTTCCTTGCAGTGGCTTGAATACAGGCTCGTCTTTCATCTCCCAACATGAAGGGATGTCTGAATCTCCTGTGGAGAACTTACAGATAGCCCTAGGTCCCTGCCTCATTATGACGGAATGCCTCACATCAAGTTGACACCTCGGGAGGCCCGCAGAGTTCACTGCTTCAAAAGGTGATGATGCCTGTCTCCTCTTGAATATTGATAGGAATCCAAAAATCCCTGTGGCTATTGGAAAGGGTCCTTGAGAGCCCTTCCTCACCTCGAGAAGCGTCCCTTGTGCCCTGCCAAGCCTCGAAGAGATTCCTGAGTTGTCCCACGTTTCTAGAAAGGAGTCCTGACGTCACTGAATAAACATGTGATTTGAAGGGCCATCCCCGCCCTAACTCGAGAACATACCGCATATCCCCGCTGCAACTCGAGAAAAACCATGAGACTTCCCCATAGATGCGAGATGAGGCTCGATTCTCCTGCAGTGCATGCAGAGCAATTCCGTGATCCCCATCAAACAAGTCTGGAGATTCGAATTCTTTAATGGATTTCGAGAGAGTCCCCAAGAACACTGTCACAAGTCTAGATGGACCCTGAGGTCACCACAGCAACGCAAAGTAGATCCATGTGCCACAAATCAACTCGAGGTGAGGCCCGATTCCACTGCATTGACTCCAGAGCCAACCGCCATTCCCCATTCAACACGACCAGTGGCTTGACTTCCTTCAGGCACCTCCAGAGATGCCCCGAGAACACTGTAACAAGACTAGAGGAACATCAACTTCAGCACAGCAACTCGAGGAATGCTCCGTGTACCCCAAATCATCTAGAGTTGAGAGCTGATTCCGTGGCTTTGGGTAAAGACGTATGCCAACTTTCCAGAAGCACCTCAAGGGGAGGCTTCTTTAAGCAAAAGCTATGTGGTAGGGACGCCGAGTTTGCTGCCCCATGTGGGATATACAGCGAGAAGCCCTAACTTGAAAGGAGGCCGGGTTTCCTTGAAGTGGCTTGAATACAGCTCGTCTTTCATCTCCCAACATGAAGGGATGTCTGAATCCCCTGGGGAGACCTTAGAGAAAGCCCTAGGTACCTGCCTCATTATGACGGAATTCCTCACATTCCATTGACACCTCGAGAGGCACGCGGAGTTCACTGCTTCAAAAGGTAACATAGCCTGACTCATCGTGAATATTGGTAGAAATCCCAAAATCTCTGTGGCTCCTGGAAAAGGTCCTTGGGTACACTGGCTCACCTCGAGAAGCGTCCCTCGTGCCCTGCCAGTCCTCGAAGAGATTACTGAGGTGTCCCTCATTACTAGACAGGAGTCCTGACGTCACTGAATAAACACGAGTTTTGAAGGGCAATCCCCGCCGTAACTCGAGAACATACCGCAGGTCCCCGCCTCAAATCGAAAAAAAACATGAGACTTCCCCCTAGATGTGAGATGAGGTCCGATTCCCCTGAAGTGCACGCAGAGCAATTCCGTGATCCCCACCAATCAAGTCCGGAGCTTCGACTTGCTTAATGGATCTCGAGCGAGTGCCCAAGAACACTGTCACAAGTCTAGACGGACCCTGAGGTCACCCCTGCAACGCAAAGCAGCTCCATGTGCCACAAATCAACTGGAGATGAGGCCCGATTCCCCTGCCTTGACCCCAGAGCCTTCCCCCATTCCTCATTAAACAAGACCAGTGGCTTGACTTCCTTTAGGCAACTCCAGAGATGCCCCGAGAACACTGTCCCAAGTCTAGAGGAACACCATCTTCAGCACAGCAACTTGAGGAATGCTCCATGTACCCCAAATCGACTCGAGATGAGAGCTGATTCCCTGGTTTAGGCTCAAGACATATGCCAACTTTCCAGAAGCACCTCAAGGGGAGGCTTCTTTAAGCAATAGGTATGTGGTAGGGACCCCGAGTTTGCTGCCACAAGTGGGATATACAGCGAGAAGCCCTAACTTGAAAGGAGGCCAGGTTTCCTTGCAGTCGCTTGAATACAGGCTCGTCTTTCATCTCCCAACATGAAGGGATGTCTGAATCCCCTGCGGAGACCTTACAGATAGCCCTAGGTCCCTGCCTCATTATGACGGAATGCCTCACATCAAGTTGACACCTCGGGAGGCACGCAGAGTTCACTGCTTCAAAGGTGACGATGCCTGACTCCTCTTGAATATTGATAGGAATCCAAAAATCCCTGTGGCTACTGGAAAGGGTCCTTGGGTGGCCTGACTTACTTCGAAAAGTTTCCCTTGTGGCCTGCCATCCTCCAAGAGATTCCTGAGGTGTCCCTCGTTACTAGATAGGAGTCCTGACGTCACTGAATAAACACGTGTTTTGAAGGGCCATCCCCCCATAACTCGATAACGTACCACAGGTCCACGCCGCAACTCGAGAAAAATCATGAGACTTCCCCCACGATGTGAGACGAGGCCCGATTCACCTGCAGGGCATGCAGAGCAATTCCGTGATCCCCATCAAACAAGTCAGAAGCTTCGACTTGCTTAATGGATCTCGAGACAGTTCCCAAGAACACTGTCACAAGTCTAGACGGACCCTGAGGTTACCACAGCAACGCAAAGTAGCTCCATGTGCCACAAATCAACTCGAGGTGAGGCCCGATTCCACTGCATTGACTCCAGAGCCATCCGCCGTTCCACATTCAACACGACCAGTGGCTTGACTTCCTTCAGGTACCTCTAGAGATGCCCCGAAAACACTCTTCCAACTCTAGAGGAACACCGATTTCAGCACAGCAACTCGAGGAATGCTCCATGTACCCCAATCGTCTCAAGATGAGAGCTGATTCCCTGGCTTAGGCTCAAGACGTATGCCAACTTTCCAGAAGCACGTCAAGGGGAGGCTTCTTTAAGCAATAAGTATGTGGTAGGGACCCCGAGTTTGCTGCCTCAAGTGGGATATACAGCGAGAAGCCCTAACTTGAAAGGAGGCCGGGTTTCCTTGCAGTGGCTTGAATACAGCAAGTCTTGCATCTCCCCACATGAAGGGATGTCTCAATCCCCTGTGCAGACCTTACAGAAAGGCCTAGGTCCCTGCCTCATTATGACGGAATGCCTCACATCACGTTGACACCTCGAGAGGCACGCGGAGTTCACTGCTTCAAAAGGTAACGTAGCCTGACTCATCGTGAATATTGGTAGAAATCCCAAAATCTCTGTGGCTACTGGAAAGGGTCCTTGGGTGCACTGCGTCACCTCGAGAAGTGTCCCTCGTGCCCTGCCAGTATTCAAAGAGATTACTGAGATGTCCGTCGTTACTAGACAGGAGTCGTGACGTCACTGAATAAATACGAGTTTTGAAGGGCAATCCCCACCGTAACTCGAGAACATACTGCAGGTCCCCGCTGCAAATCGAGGAAAACCATGAGACTTCCCCCTAGATGTGAGATGAGGCCCGATTCCCCTGCAGTGCACGCAGAGCAATTCCGTGATCCCCATCAAAGAAGTCAGGAGCTTCGACTTGCTTAATGGATCTCGAGACAGTGCCCAAGAACACTGTCTCAAGTCTAGACGGACCTTGAGGTCAACCCTGCAACGCAAAGCAGCTCCATGTGCCCCAAATCAACTCGAGATGAGGCCCGATTCCCCTGCGTTGACTCCAGAGCCATCCGCCATTCCGCATTAAACACGACCAGTGGCTTGACTTCCTTCAGGCAACTCCAGAGATGCCCCGAGAACACTGTCCCAAGTCTAGAGGAACACCAACTTCAGCACAGGAACTCGAGGAATGCTCCGAGTACCCCAAATCGTCTCGAGATGAGAGCTGATTCCCTGGCATAGGCTCAAGACGTATGCCAACTTTCCAGAAGCACGTCAAGGGGAGGATTCTTTAAGCAATAGGTATGTGGTAGGGACCCCGAGTTTGCTGCCTCAAGTGGAATATACAGCTAGAAGCCCTAACTAGAAAGGAGGCGGGGTTTCTTTGCAGTGGCTTGAATACAGGCTCGTCTTTCATCTCACAACATGAAGGGATGTCTGAATCCCCTGTGGAGACCTTAGAGAAAGCCCTAGGTACCTGCCTCCTTTTGACGGAATGCCTCATATCCCATTGACACTTCGACAGGCACGCGGAGTTCACTGCTTCAAAAGGTGACGATGCCTGACTCCTCTTGAATATTGATAGGAATCCCAAAATCCCTGTGGCTAATGGAAAGGGTCTTTGGGTGCCCTGACTCACCTCGATAAGTGTCCCTTGTGGCCTGCCAAGCCTCGAACAGATTCCTGAGGTGTCCCTCGTTAATAGACTGGAGTCCTGACGTCACTGAATAAACACGTGTTTTGAAGGGCCTTCCCCGCCGTAACTCGAGAACATACCCCAGATCCCCGCCGCAACTCGAGAAAAACCATGAGACTTCTCCCTAGATGTGAGGTATGGCCCGATTCCCCTGCAGTGCATGCAGAGCAATTCCATGATCGCCATCAAACAAGTCAGGAGCTTCGACTTGCTTAACAGATCTCGAGAGAGTCACCAAGAACACTGTCACAAGTGTAGAGGTACCCTGAGGTCACCCCAGGAACGCAAAGCAGCTCCATGTGCCCAAAATCAATTCGAGATGAGGCCTGATACCCCTGCATTGACTCCAGAGCCAACCCCCATTCCCCATTAAACACGACCAGTGGCTTGACTTCCTTCAGGAAACTTCAGAGATGCCCTGGGATCACTGTCCCAAGTCTATAGGAAGACCAGCTTCAGCACAGCAACTCGAGGAATGCTCCGTGTACCCCAAATCGTCTCGAGATGAGAGCTGATTTCCTGGCTTAGGCTCAAGATGTATGCCAACTTTCCAGAAGCACCTCAAGGGGAGGCTTCTCTCAGCAATAGGTATGTGGGAGGGACCCCGAGTTTGCTGCCTCAAGTGGAATATACAGCGAGAAGCCCTAACTTGAAATGAGGCCGGGTTTCCTTGCATTGAGTTGAATACAGGCTCGTCTTTCATCTCACAACATGAAGGGATGTCTGAATCCCCTGTGGAGTCCTTAGAGAAAGCCCGAGGTCCCTGCCTCATTTTGACCTAAAGCCTCACATCCCGTTGACACTTCCACAGGCACGCGGAGTTCACTGCTTCAAAAGGTGACGATGCCTGACTCCTCTTGAATATTGATATTAATCCCAAAATCACTGTGGCTACTTGAAGGGGTCCTTGGGTGCCCTGCCTCTCCCCGAGAGGCGTCTCTTGTGCCGTGCCAAACCTCGAAGAGATTCCTGAGGTGTCCCTCTTTACTAGACAGGAGTCCTGACGTCACTGAATAAACACGTGTTTTGAAGGGCCATCCCCGCCCTAACTCGAGAACATACCCCAGGTCCCCGCCGCAACTCGAGAAAAACCATGAGACTTCCCCCTAGATGCGAGATGAGGCCCGATTCTCCTGCAGTGCATGCAGAGCAATTCCGGGATCCCCATCAAACAAGTCAGAAGCTCTGACTTGCTTAATGGATCTCGACACAGTCCCGAAGAACACTGTCACAAGTCTAGACGAACCCTGAGGTCAACCCAGCATCGCAAAGCAGCCCCATGTGCCTCAAGTCAACTCGAGATGAAGCCCGATTCCCCTGCATGGACTCCAGAGCCATCCCCCGTTCCCCATTAAATACGTCCAGTGGCTTGACTTCCTTCAGGAAACTCCAGAGATGCCCCGAGAACACTGTCTCAAGTCTAGAGGAACACTAACGTCATCACAGCAACTCGAGGAATGCTCCGTGTACCCGAAATCGTCTCGAGATGAGAGCTGATTCCCTGGCTTAAGCTCAAGACGTATGCCAACTTTACAGAAGCACCTCAAGGGGAGGCTTCTCTCAGGATTAGGTATGTCAGAGGGACCCCGAGTTTGCTGCCTCAAGTGGAATATACAGCTAGAAGCCCTAACTAGAAAGGAGAAGGGCTTTCCTTGCAGTGGCTTGAATACAGGCTCGTCTTTCATCTCACAACATGAAGGGATGTCTGAATCCCCTGTGGAGACCTTAGAGAAAGCCCTAGGTACCTGCCTCCTTTTGACGGAATGCCTCACATCCCGTTGACACCTCGAGAGGCACGCAGAGTTGACTGCTTCAAAAGGTGACGATGCCTGACTCCTCTTGAATATTGATAGGAATCCCAAAATCCCTGTGGCTACTGGAAAGGGTCCTTGGGTGCCCTGCCTCACCTCGAGAAGTGTTCCTTGTTGCCTGCCAAGCCTCGAAGAGATTCCTGAGTTGTCCCTCGTTACTAGACAGGAGTCCCGACCTCACTGAATAAACAGGTGTTTTGAAGGGCCATCCCCGCCTTAAATCGATAACATAGCAAAGGTCCCCGCCGCAACTCGAGAAAAACCATGAGACTTCCCCCTAGATGACAGATGTGGCCCGATTCCCCTGCAGTGCATGCAGAGCAATTCCGTGATCCCCATCA